CCAAATTCCTCTAATAGGCTTTACCCTAAAGCCCAAACAAAAACATAGCCCAAAACTTGATTTATTATGGTCGACTAAAGTCCAAAGCATCAAAGTCCAAGAAGATGGCCCAAAAGAAAGCCCACTGTTGATCGAACGTTGGGCGTCCCCCTTGTGGAACGCTGGGCATTCATCAACAGCCAACAGATTGCAAGCCCCATGCTGAATGTTGGGTGTTCCTCGACCCAGCGCAGGGCGTTTGCACCCAGAAGCCCAAAAGTGCTTATTAAGCACTTAATGCCTAAAGCCACATGACTAGAAACTAGATCCAAGTCCTAAAGATCACCTAGAACCATAAAGTCACTGACTTGGTGACTTTTCATGCCCAAAAGGTCCCAACTTCAAGATATAGCATCCAACTTCCATAAAAAGGGCTTAATTTCATGCATGGGACTTTTAAAGCTCTAAAAATGCAAACTTTCTGAATCTAAAGCACCATAAACACCAAGAGAGCAACTCAAAGCTTCTGGAGTGATCATAACTTCAAGATCTCAACCATGGGACCAAAAAAAAGGACCAAAATCTATAAAAACTTAGATCTAAGGTTTGAGCTTTATACCTTAGATGAACTAAAAATGGAGCAGAGAACCAAGATCTAGAAGCTCGAACTTGAACCGCCATCTTGCATCAAGCTTCTCTTCCTTGAACGAGCTTAGAACACACACCAAAACACACATAATGAGCTCACAACACACAAAGAGGCTCTAGGGTTTCAAGAGTTAGGGCTTGAGGCTATGGAAGCTGGAAATGAGGCCAACACCTAGGACTTAAGGTGTTTAAATAGGTTTTAAACCCTAAAAATTAGGGTTTGAGCTCTGCGTGTGAACACCCTGCGTTCCCCAAGGGAACGCCCCGCATTCGAGCTCCGCCTCCAAAAGTCCAATCTTGGCAAGAATGGTCCCTCCTTCCCCACAAACTTGCAAAACAAGGCCAAAAAGCAACGACTTAATATATAAGGGGCCAAAAATGAATAATACCTAGATCGAGCGTTACAATAGCTCAAGTCAACTCTATCCCATCACCTATCCAGTTTCAGAATCCACTGTTTGACTTCCAGTTTTCAAGATTTTTGGCATGATCGTTTGGGACATCCCGGCTTACCGTTTTTTGATTTTCTAGTTTGCAATAAAATTATTCCTTGTAATAAACGTGCTAGAACCTTGGTTTGTAATTCTTGTCAACTTTCTAAGAATAAATGATTGCCATTTTCTATTTCTCAATCTACTTCTTTATTACCGTTTGATATTGTGCATTGTGATCCTTGGACTTCACCGGTTACAAGCAAAAATGTTACCTCATTCTTGTTGATAAATTTTCTCAATATACTTGGCTTTTCACCTGAAATTTAAATCTGAAACTTTTACTAAGTTCTCCAGTTTTCATGCTTATATCAAAACACAATTCAACACCCCTATTAAATCCTTTCAATGTGACTTAGGGGGTGATTTTGACAATAACTCCTTCAAATCCTTTGCTTCAACAAACGGCCTTCAATTTCGGTTCTCATGCCCACACACGTCGCAACAAAATGGTAAATCGAAACGTATGATTCGTCGCCTAAATGAAATATTTCTCACCTTACTAACCCATGCATCCTTACCCATTAATTTTTGGGTTGAGACGCTTCACACTGCCTGCTACTTGCACAATATTTTACCTACTCAATTGCTCAAATTCCACACCCCTACTTCTGCACTATATCGTCGAAACCCCACCTATGACCACCTTCGTGTTTTTGGTTGCACTTGTTATCCCAACATTTCTTCCACTCGACCTCATAAGCTCGCCACTCGCTCCGTTCGTTACATTTTCCTCAGCTACCCTGCTGATTTTCGTGGGTACCGTTGCCTTGACATCTCCTCCGGACGTATCATTTTATCTCAGCTACTCAAATTCCACCCCATCCCCTCCTACTCCCTCAAATAATTCCCCACCCTCTTCTCCTCCCTCGCCCACTGTCCCTTATCGGACTCCCATTACCTACCAGCGGCGACAACACCAAACCTCTACCTATCCCTTGCCAACCCCCACCCCTCCCTCTCCACCACTAAATTCCAGTGATCATGACTTAAACCCACCATATCCTTCCGCTCCTGCCCCATCCCATTCCATGACCACTCGCTCCAAAGTGGGAACAATTAAACCCAATCTTTCTTTTAACCTTTTTTTCACCTCATCCTCACCCGTGTCCCCCCTCCCCACCTCCCACCTTAAAGCCCTGTATGTTCCAAATTAGAACGCAATAATGTCCGATGAATTTCGATCCTTGACAGATAATAAAACTTGGGTCTTAGTACCTCGGTTACAACGTTACAAAGCTTGGTTGGTTATTAATGGAAAAAGTCAATAGGTTGGAATAGATTGTGACGAGACTTTTATCCCGGTTGTCCAACCAACCACTATACGTACAGTTTTGAGCTTGGCCGTATCCCGTGGTTGGCCGATTCACCAACTTGATGTGAAAACGCTTTCCTTCACGGGGACCTCCATGAGACAGTCTACATGTTTCAACCACCCGACTTCACCGATCCACACCATCCTAATCATGTATGCCTCCTTAAAAAATCTCTATATGGTTTGAAATAGGCACCCCGCGCTTGGTACGATCGATTTGCTACATACATTACCAAGTGTGATTTTCGCAGCACTATTAGTAATAGCTCACTGTTCGTTTACACCAATGGTTCTAAGATGGCTTATTTGTTACTTTGTGTAGACGACATTATTCTGACAGCATCGGACATCACTCTTGTCATCAGATCATTCAATCTTTATCCACATAATTTGCTATGTCCGATCTTGGCAGGCTTCACCACTTTCTCGGCATTAATGTCACCAACCAGAATAATGGATTATTTCTTTCTCAAGCCACTTATGCCACTGACATACTTTCCCGTGCTCACATGTCCGACTGCAAACCTTCATCTATTCCTGTGGATATCGGTTCCAAACTCAGTGAAACGAGTGGAAACCTTTTACCAGACAACTCTCTTTATCGCAGCTTCGCCGAGGCGCTACAATATCTCACCGTTACCCGGCCGGATCTTACATACTCAATGCAACAAATCTGTCTTTTCATGCATGCACCACGGGAACCACATCTTCAGTTCTTGAAACGGGTCTTGCGTTATCTTAAAAGAACTCTTAGTTATGGTCTCACCATCTCTCCCTCCAAGTTGAACAACCTTGTTGCCTATTCAGATGCCGAATGGGGGGGGGGGGGTGTTCGGACTCTCGCCGCTCAACATCCGGATATTTTGTTTTTTTTGGGTAACAACCTTGTTTCATGGTCTCAAAGCGACAACCCACAATTTCCCGTTTTAGCGCCGAGGCTCAGTACCAGGGCGTTGCTAACGATGTTGCAGGAACTAGTTGGTTGCGCAAACTATTGTTGGAATTATTTGTGCCTACTCGCAAAGCCACATTAATCTATTGCGATAATATTTCGCATTGGTGCTGTTCGTGTACTCCACATACCGGCAGACTACCAATACGCAGACATCTTTACCAAAGGCCTGTCACGCCAGCTTTTCACTCATTTTCGATATAGTCTATGCATGCGTCCTTCTCCGGCCAGGGGGTGTATTAGTTGTATATATTATTTATATAATAATATTCTGTTGTATCTTAGATTAGAATAGTTTGTTTCCTGTTTTTTAGATTTCCTTTGTATATATTCGGTATTCAATGAAATCTTTGACCTTTTCTAAAGAGTTTACAGTGCTTACTTTACTTCTCTTATCTTTGACCTTTCCCGTTCTACCGCCAATAAGGAGGAGTCCTAATTGTTTTAGATGTTGGTGGATGTGTTGTTAGGTTGGCTGGACTTTACATATCCTTTTTCTAACAAGTATCATTATAATGTTTTTTCCTTTTTCTTATTAAAGCATATTACTTTGAAAAATCTATCAAATTATAGTCTTGTACTTTTAGATATTTTTCTTATTAAGACATTTCAAAAAATCTACCTAATTGTCGCAGTGGAAATTGCTTTGTATGAGGATGATAATTGATATCGCGATTAGTGTTAGATTTTTCAAAATAATATGTTGTAACAGGAAAAAGAATTGAAGGATGATGCTATAATACACAAAATTAAGGAAAATACATTGCTGTTTCTTGCATGTAACCCTTTCCAAAAATGCAAGAAATAGCAATGCATTTGACTATTTTCATTTATTTTGTGTATTATAGCATCCTACTTTTGTTTCTTTTAATTACAACATTGCACTTCTAATCTTTTTCTTATTAAAGCATGGTACTTTGTAAAATCTACCAAATTATAGCATTGTACTTTTAATTTTTTTTATTCTTATTAAGACATTATACTTTGAAAAATCTACTAAATTATAGCATTGTACTTTTAATTTTTTTTATTCTTATTAAAACATTATACTTTGAAAAATCTATCTAGTTATAGCAGTAAAAATTGTTTTGTATTTGGATTGCATTGCTATAATTGGTACATTTTAAAAGTAGGAAATGAAAGTAGGACACTATAATAAACAATCTAATGAAAGTCGATTGTTGTTTCTTGCATTTAACCTTTCCAACATGTAAGAAATAGCAATGTACTTTCATTTAGTCGTGTATTATATAATCCTACTTTTTGTTTTTTTTTATTACAACATTGTACTAATCTTTTTCTTCTTAAAGCATTGTACTTTGAAAAATCTACCAAATTATAGCAATTTATTTATAATTTTTTTTATTAAGACATTATACTCTGAAAAAGTTATGTACTTATAACAGTGAAAGTTGCTTTGTATTTGGGTGGCATTGCTATAATTGGTAAATTTCTCAAAGTAAAATGTTGTAATAGAAAGAAATGAAAGTAGGAAGCTTTAATAAACAAGTTAATGAAAGTACATTGTTTTTTCTTGCATTAAACACTTTCCAAAATGCATCTATGAATCTGTAAAACTTAATCTTAACTCCTTTAGCACAAAGCAGATAGAGGAATGCATTTGTATTACTTAAAACAAGGAACTATTGAAGCTAATCCTCATCACCTTGTCAATCTCATTCATTATGAGGTCCCTCTCACGTTATTTGATAATTTTATAGTGTTAATTACAAAGAATACTTTCATTCTGATTTTTTGTTCATTATGCTTATTACAGGATGCTGCATCCCTCTCAGTTGCAATTTTGAAAAAGAAACTAAAAAATCGGCTATTTTTGGGTTGTGATAATCATCCTGTTTCAAGGTTTGTTCTATAATAAAGTTTCCATATTTGTAGATGGAATTGGAATCTTTTTTAACCTAAAAAACTTGATTTCTCAGACAAGAAATAATGGACTTGGTTGCTAAGAGTGGAAAATTCGATCCCACCTTTATGGGCTTTACTGGTAAGTTAACAAATATGATTGCTTGCATCTAAGGTTTTTTTTTTTTTTTTTTCTGTTAAAGTAAATGACCATTTTACCCTTTTGAGCTGAAAACATAGGCACGGATGGTCCTTTGGGGAAGAAACTGGACAACTCAAAGACAAGGGAGGAGTTAGGATGGGAGCCAAAATATAAAAGTTTTGCTCATTTTCTTGGGGTAGCTTCTTGATTTTTTTTTCTTTATGGGGATTATTATTTTTTATTTGTGGTTGGTTGAAAAAGAAAAACGGGATATTTTATTAGGAAGATATTTTTGCTTACACCTGAGGGATGTACAAAAAATTGATTATGGTTATTTCTGTAACATGACGTATATTTAATGCGACTAAATTGAGCTAAACTTGAAGTAAGTTCTTGATTTATTTCCCTTAATAAATTCGTTTACATTGAATATACAAATAATTGTCAATGAAATCAAGAACTCCATTCCACCAGTTCTAATCATCAAATTTTGCTTGAAACAAACACGTGTGTGTGTGTGTGTGTTTAGTCTCAAGATGTTTGTAACTTTGTCAAAGTGTGAGTAAACATTGGGTACAGATGATGATGTAATACTCAAAGAAACAAGTAAATTATCAAAACATTGTATTGATTCTATTATCTAAATAAAATATCATAAAAAATAAGTTCATTATTGAAGATGATAAAAGGAATTGCTAGTTTTATAAGAAACAATTATTGTGTTGGTCAACTTTACAAGAAGGCTACACCAATAACTCAATTATCCATTTGTTGATAAAGACGATATGAACTCCTTTTATGACATTCCTATCAGTTATCTGTTTTTTTTTTTTTCTGGTTTTGGGATGTCATTCAGGGTAGAGGATGGTCTGAAGGTGATGCAAGTTCACATTATTTTTTATAGCTTAATATTTAATACACTTAATGGTATGCATACATGATTATCTAACTAGGAGGTGATTATTCCATTTAACATATAAAATTCATGTTTCGTTGACTTATAAGATAGTTGCAAGGTTTGAAATCTTTCAAAATCTTGCCCCCCGCGATAGAAGTCTAGTTGTTGAGGAGTGAAACTCCACATAAAAGGTCAATGGTTCAAACTCTGCACGGCCAAAATATTGATAGTGTTCAGCAATTGACCTTCCACGTAGGACTTGGGGTGGGTTGACATGGGCCATCCAGATGGTGCAGTTTACCATTTTTTTAAGATAGTTGCAAGGATCTTGTAGCTTGTCTGGATGAATCAATTTTTTAAATGGAAGAATCGCCTCCCTAGAGAGAAATCGGACAAAAAAAAACTGCTAATTTTTCTTATTGCTTAATATTTAACATACTTAATGGTAATACAAGGACTCTTGTAACACAATCATGCGTTCTTAGAGAATTTAATGGTACCGAAATGTTATATTGGAAAGCTAACCATTTTTATCAATTGTTTTCTCGATATTTACTTCATAGTGTTGTTTAGATTTTTTGATATAGAGATCTGCTTTATTATAAAGAGATATACCCAATAGCTTACCTAGCTACCCAATGTTGTGTTCGAGTCTTGGATTTTTCAATTAGGAAATGGCCACTAGAGGGCATGCGACGTATTTCGGAGTCATAACATATCGTCCAAAAGACAAACCCACTCCCCTAATTCTTGCAAATGCGGGGAGTCGCAGTGGGTGGTCAGGAACCCATTGGTTAAATGCTATTATTTTTTAGATCGTTTAAATTGACAAAAAAATTTGGTTATCTGAATCTATATCCAAAATTTTGAATATAGATTTGGATAGTAAAATTCACTATCCAAAATTTCCAGATATCAGGTTTGAATACCCATATTCAATCGTCTATCTTTCACACGCACGCACACACACATAGAATGAGGAGTTATTTCAAAATAACAAGTTGCCATCTTTAAATAATGTATATTAATAACGCAGGTGCTCTATCATTTTCCAACTTGCAAATTGTAAAGTTGGAGTATTTGAAAGAGTTGATATTGCAACTATCGTTCATGTGGTATATTGAAAATACGTGTATTGCGACATTTACAAGACATTGAACTTTATCGAGTTTAATAGATTTTTATATTATTATTTTATTTTTTATACAACTTTTTAATTTTTTCCCTTATAATACATACAAAATTTCAATGAAATGTTTATTTATAATATTGTTTTATCATGGGTTTAACTCAACAAACCATTAAGGTGAATTCATGGTAAATTCATTCAGGAACTCCATTAAGTCAAATCACTTCGACCATGAAATTACATCCTCTGATGGAATAATTCGGTCCTGCTAAAGATTAACATTTCCTCTGGAGAGCAACACTAAAGGCATCACTTTCAAGAAGAGGGATTTGTTCTAAATTCAATTGTATGTGTTTTCTGTAGGGATGTAGAAGAATCTATGCAGTGGCCTAGCCAGAATTTTGTTTTTGGATAGGTAAAATAATTTACAAAATATGAACAAATAGCAAAATACTTCAAATGATAATAAAATGTAACAATGTATGATTTTAATGTAATTGTTCGTTTAAGTTGTAATAATTGATTAATTAAGATAATAAAAAATAGTAATATACGAACTTTATGAACGAGGGATTCACCGTGAAGATTAAAATGCAATTTGAATTTGATATATTCAAAAAACTGTTGCCGCAATTCTTTAATCGACGTGCCTCAACATGTAAATAATTTCCTTCATTATGAATTTAAGTTTTAAATGGGATGGGTCACGTCATAATTCACAAGCCTTTAACATTTTTTTATTCAAATGAAATATAAATTCTATATATAATATATATTTCACTTCAAATTTGTGTGGGGTGGGCCAAGACCCACAGTTGCACTCATATAGCTAAGCCTTTGAATCTATGGACCATCTTTATGTTGCCTACAGTTTAACGAGATTAATTTGGAACTGCGTAAACATTTGGTGCAAGCTACAACCATTCTCATGCTCCCATAAAATTATAGAAATCATCTCAATTCCAAAGTCGACCTGAAAACTTCCTACACCCATAAAACTACTACTATAGACAATTATCTCTCATCTTGCATGTGCATTTGGCGAGTCGAGAATGAAAGGTATTTAACAACAAACCAAAATCTTTTCACAAAGTCATAAGACTACCTTCGTTAGCAACCCAACCCAACCTAACTTTTTTAATAAAAAACTAATTTCTCTCTCTTCCACCTATGCAATCCAGTCAAATCTAATTTTTTACACCCATTAGCAACCCAATCCAACCTCATTTTTATTTAAAAAAATATAACTTAATTTTATTTTTCTTTTACTAAAAACTATTAGAAATATTAAAAATAAATATTTTATTTTGAAACAAATAAATTATTTATTTTAAACATAAAATTAAATAAAAATAGATAAAGAAAATATTTTACATTCATGAAATAAAATAAACAGAAGATGCAAACTACTAAATTATTCTTCAATGCTGAATTTTTTCCATATATGCTCAATCAAATCGTTTTTAGAGCGTTATGAGTTTCTCTATTGCGAACTTATGCCCTATTGGTCATATAATTGGATAGATCTCCAATTCGTTGAGTAGAGTATTCAAAAAGATTCTTCGTCTTCTGTAGTTATAAATTCTGATGGATCATAATAATGAAGGTATGTGTGTCGTCCATCCTCAACTATCATATTATGAATAATGATACATGCAATCATAATTTTCCCCATCATATCTTTGTCCCACACAAGACAAGGGCGATGAAGAAATGCAAAATGAGCTTGTAAAACTCCAAATGCTCGTTCAACATCTTTTCTAGCAGCCTCTTGATGTTCAGCGAACAACTTGTGTTTTCGAAGTTGTGGAGAACTTATTGACTTGACAAAGGCAGCCATGAAGGATATATGTCATCAGTGAGATAATAAGCCATATTATTTTCTCGATCATTCACAATGTAACTCACCTTTGGTGCTCGACCTGCCAAGACATCATCAAAAAGAGGAAATCTTTGGAGGACGTTAATGTCATTGTACGAACCTGGTGTTCCGAAGAATGCATGCCATATCCATAAGTCATACGATGCAACAACTTCCAAAATTATTGTTTTCTTACCGCTTCTACCTGCATATTGTCCAGCCCAAGCGGTGGGGCAGTTTTTCCATTCCCATTGCATGCAATCAATACTGCCTACCATACCTGGAAATCCACGTTCTTCTCCAACATGGAGCAGTCGTGCCAAATCATCTTGATTGGGACTTCTAAGGTACTCTTCACGAAAGCATGAAATGACACCTTCCACAAACTTTACAAGAGCATCCCTAATCACAGTCTCACTCATTCTCAAATAGTCATCAAGTGCATCTGTTGATGTCCCATATGCCAACACCTTCATAGCTTGTAACACCCATATTTCCAATAATAATTGACTATATTTATTTTAAAACGTTAGTTAGCGAATATTGTATTTTGGTAGGTCATAAAATAATATCTATTATATTTTGGAAATATCACCAATTCAGATTTGATATAAATTTGGAATTTTATGGTAATTATATTTTATGTATTTAACAAAATGGATTTGTTATCTCAAATGAAAACAATTATATATAGTTAAGTTTTAAAATCTTACACATTTATATTGTTGAGGGGTAATATATGTAAAAGATTTAACAAATGTAATTGTCCAATTAATATATACACATCCAATTAATATATGCATACGTAACATATATACGTGTCGATTGGCTATGCATACATTCCTATTTTTGTGAAAATTATAAAGGATTACTTAATAACAAAGGTAAAATAAATAGTCACCATAATACGTGTTATAAAATTGTGAAGTTAGTACATTTATAATTAATATGGAGGCATAGGTGTTAGTTTATGAGATGAGTAAGCTTTAATATTATACAGAAGAGTGATCAAAATTGTAGTATAAATAACAGATATTTCGGAAGAAGACGCTTTCACTTTCATATAGCAAAAAGTATTATTTTTATATTACCGGATATTTATAATAATTTGTTTATTTCGTTAATTATAAGAGTTTTTTTTATAATCCGATTAACGTTATATTTTTGGTCGCATAGCTTTCATCCGTTTAAACCTTCTTTTTGGAAATATGTTATTATACAAGGTAAATGGCACAAAAAAACACTCTTTTTACACCGTGTTTTTTTTTGTGTCAATTTTGACACTGTGTTTTCCAATTTGTTACAATTCTGACCACTTGA